CAGTATAAGGAGGACCCCTAGCTCGCTGTATCCTTTACATCTAACTCCGAAGAAGCTGTTCCTGTTCCAAACCAATGTCTGACATTATTAATGGATTGGATGAAGGTACAGAGATAGAAACCTAATTCAGACAAAACAGAAGTGTTCCTGGTCAATCAGAAGGCAGATCAGAGAATAGGGATTCAACTTGTGTTGGATGGAGTTTTGCTCCCCTTGACAACTCAGGTTTGCAGCTTGGGTACTCCTGGACTCATCACTGAGCCTGAATGCTCAAATCTTGGCTGTGGCTAGTAATGTGTCTGCACAGCTAAAGCAGGTGTGCCAGCTGTGACCTGTCCTAGGGATGCCTGATTTGGTTAGTGACATGCCTTAGTTACATCCCACCTGGATTACAGCAATGCACTGTACACGAGGCTGCTTGTGAAGATGGGTTTGGATTGGAAACTGGTTCAAAATGTGCAGTCAGGTTGCTGCCTGAAGCTAGCAACAGGGAGCATATATTCCATTATAAAAGCTTCAATGGCTGCTGGTCCATTTCCAGGTTCAATTCAAAGTTTTATTTATTTATTTATTTATTTCATTTTATTTATGTCCCACCTATCTGGTCGGACGAGGACCACTCTAGGCGGCTAACAATCAAAATGATACAATAAAAATGTAAATAGACAGTTCTAAATCATAGAAACACTACATTACGATGCACAAAACACAAAACATAAAACAGTAAGGGAGGAAAGAGGGGGTCATGAGTTATGTGATGGGAAGGCCTGCCAAAACATCCAAGTCTTTAATGGCTTCATAAAGGTACCCAGCGAGGGAGCCCCGTGAATCTCAGGAGGTAAGTTTTTCCAGAAGCGAGGAGCCACCGCTGAGAAGGCCCGATTTCTTGTCTTTTCTTTCCGGGAAGGCCTGCCAAAACATCCAAGTCTTTAATGGCTTCATAAAGGTACCCAGCGAGGGAGCCCCGTGAATCTCAGGAGGTAAGTTTTTCCAGAAGCGAGGAGCCACCGCTGAGAAGGCCCGATTTCTTGTCTTTTCTTTCCGGGCCTCCCTCGGCGTTAGGCTCCTCAGCCTCACCTCCTGGCTCACACGAGTGACACGGGTAGATCTTGGTGGAAGTAGGCGTTCCGCCAAGTATCGAGGCCCTAAACCGGTTAGGGCTTTATAGGTAAGCATCAACACTTTGCAGTCGATGCGGAATCGGATGGGCAGCCAATGCAATGTGGCCAGAGTGGGTGAAATATGTTGGAATTTTTTCACTCCACTAAGTAATCTGGCCGCCGCATTCTGCACCACCTGTAATTTCCGCAGCTGCCTCAAAGGTAGCCCCACGTAGAGCGCATTGCAGTGGTCTAATCTCGAGATTACGAGCACATGCACCAAGGTAGTGAGCGCCCCCACATCAAGGTAGGACCGCAGCTGGGCTATCCGCCTGTCATGGGGTTCGAGCTCTTATGGGCTCGAGGAGGAGGAAGGGCATGGATGTCTTCCTCAGGACCAGGAAAACGGTCATCTACTTGGCAATCCCAAGGTGGAGATGGAGATGGAGAAAAGGCTGCATAGTGGTCGTAAGGGCGTTGGTACCGATAATACGGATCAGCCCTATAGAACCTAGAATAGGTCTGCAGATCAAGGTTGAAATCATCCGGCTCGAAAAAGGACCTATGCTCATAATACCACTTCCTGTCGATGTCTCGGGCTCAATGTTCAGCCTCGTATGAATGCTGGTATCGAAGGGGCTCTGGCTCCATTGGCAGGTCTAAATGCCACGTCTTCTGCACCCTCTTCCTAGGTACATCCATGTACACCAAGCCCCGAGGTAAGGCGGAAATATGCCCAGTAGATGAGCCCAGAGGAGATCACAGGCTAACCTGTGCCAGTTGCACTGCATGTGTTCACCCAGTCTGTTGAGGAGCTGAGAGTGGTAAGGTCTCCGGCATCGGGGCCAGACCATCTTCGTCCCCCAATGATATGCTCAGATATACCGTGTGTCACCGGGACATCTCTGGTAGTAGGATCAAGGGCAATATCGTGTCTACCACTCAAGCTGGCTTCTGCGTCTTCTTTTTAGAAGTAGAGTTCAAGGGAGGCTTTGGTGTCGATACCGTAGCCATTGACCTCGAGCCTGAGGAAGATGCCTGAGGCTCAGATGCCATTTTATGAACTTTTGAAGATTTTGATGGTGGCAGAAAATCAGAGGTTGGGATAGGCCGCTCAGCCTGGGGTATTCCATAAGGGTCCCCTGGGTTGGAGATAGGGACTTCTCCCACAAAATCGAGCAAAGGCGCTGGAGCCTCAACTTAAGCATCTGTTTAGTAAAGCCCTTACAAACTGCACACAGGGACAGCTAGTGTTGTTCTCCAAGACAAATCAAGCAGCGGAAATGTCCATCCGAAAGGGCAATCTTGTTAGTACAGGACTCACACGTCTTAAAGAGGCCCGGAGCAGCCATAAACAAACTTGCGGCTTTGCTAATAGAAGCTAATAGTCCATTTAAATTCTTTTTTTTAAACTCAGAGAAAAGAAGAGACGTCGAGCGATCCAAGAACAAAGCCAGGGAGATCTAAGATAAGAAAAGGTAAGAAAGATTTGAACAAAGTGCCGAAGTTCCTAATGAAACTGCTGCAGCGGCGGCAAGAAAGGAACTGAGGCATTCGGTGCCAGGGATGGGGTTAAGGGCAGCATGTAGGAGGTCCCAGCACCATGTGCCTTTGCTCTGGAAGGTTCCAAGACTGCTCTGCGCAGGTTCAGATTAACCCATTAGTGTGCATTCACAGAGACCACGAAGAAGACCCCTATTCTCTTCCTCAATTCTTTTCATAGTGTTAACTATGTCCTTTGTTGCTTATCTAATTTGATATATTTTGGAACATTTTTAAAGTATTTGCACATGAAAACAGAAAAAACAAAAGCCTTGACCTAGTACAGGGGGTGAATTTCTAGTTAGCTTTTGCCAACTAGTGCTGAAGCAAATGTTCATGCTTTAGAGAGCTTTAATTTGAGTGCCACTTAAAGCTTGTTTGTTTTGTGAATTGAGAAATAACCCCTGCTTGGCTTTGTTTTCCAAATAAATGACAAATTAGAAGTACATCTCTAGTATATAACAGCCCATATATTTACAACTCAGTCCTCTCTTACTTTCTGTGTTGCTCCTCACAAAACAGGCTGCGTTTCCAAGGTCCTGTCTTGGGCTGAATGATAGATTATAATGTTCTTGGAAAAGAGATATTTCTGTTTTCCTAGGGGGGCAAACAGATGTAAATCTCACTCCTCATGAGGATTCAGCTCAGAGGGATAGGATTTAACTCCAGCTCATCAACATTTTTCCACTGAAATCTTTATTAAACATTCTTCTAAAATGTGTTTATTAACACATCCGCTCAGCACTTGCCAATGTCATCCTTCCTGCCTTGAGTGGTGATGTCTTCCTGGGAAGGAATAGTGGCACTGCCCCTTGGATTTAGACTTTTATTTCTAGACAGGGGCTGAGGAAGTGGCTCTCAGTATAACTATCACTAAAATAAAATTTTATTATGCGGTCATAGACCCGATTATACAAAGATAAATACATAAAATAAATACATAGTATGGTATAAAATATTTCTATAGCGTTTTGCTTGCAACTGAGAAAAGGATGGGAGCCTATCATTCTCTCAGCCATAGTTCCCAAGGGGTTGGGTAAAAGGAGTACAATTCCCATTTGCCATACACCTAAATTTGACAACCATTTCATTCTCTATATACCAATACTGTATCCTTCGTCCTGATACATGAAATCAACAAAGTTTAAGGGGAAATGTGCACAAGTCAACACTCGGAAGTCTATGTATCTTCCATAGTTCCACAGACCCATGAGTATTTTATTTTGAATGTCCTCTTATTACACCTGTGTGTGTTTTGCAAGTAAATATAGAAACACCTTGACCCATCTGATGACTTTGGTGTTGCTGGAAGGCAAAAAAGGCCTTTCAACATGGAGGTGAAGAGAAATGAAGAGAGCCCTCTGAAAGCCCAATAAGCATGGCTGTTTCCATTTTGTTCGGACTGCTGAAAGCATCCCCATTTAATCCTACCAAGGCTGTGCTTACTGTGCAATCTATGCCCCATTATTACTCTGGTTCACAGAAAGTCCTTGCTCCAGGATTATCTATGCAGGTACAGATCTAAATATAAGGTAGGATCATGTTAGCAGACCAAAAAAAGTTTGCTCATTCAATTGACAGTTCCATTTATACAGTGGTAGTGTCTTTATTCATGTAGTCTCTAGCACACAATCAGTTGTGCAACCTGCAACTTCACTGGATTGCCCTTGTGCACACAGTCCAAACCCAGATGTTCATAAGCATGTTGTTATTTGCACTAGTGGAATTACAGGAACACAATAGGAAGCACTTTTTCAGTTTCACTCCACAGGTGTTTTCACCATCATCCCTTTAACATTGGCTGAAATCCCGCTCATGTAAGTTCCACAGCATTGTGGCAGTGATTTTTGATAATTAAAGACTTCACCTCCTGTCCTGCAGACCCAGTGTACCCAAGAAGATATCCTAACTTACACTGAACATATACTGCTAGTAGGCTTTTATTATCATTGTGACACAGAATGCTGATTCAAACTCTTTATTTTCCATATTTAGTACACAGGAGTTTGAATATGCATGAACAAAAGTGCAATTTTATCATTCTTTCATTCACTGTAAAAAAAAAGGTCTGTTTGCATAAATATTGTCTATGTGGAACACAGCTGTTTTCTTCATGTTTATAAACAATTTTAAAGCGTTCTGAACAATGCCATGGTTAGATGTTTAGTACATTTTCTTCACTATTTTTTTTTGGCATGGTAGTTTTAGAAAATGCTACATAAATCATTTTGCTTTAATATAGTGGCAGTTTCTGAAAGAGCGACTAATATTTGTGATCAGTGTTGCTAAGAGACTTACTGGTCACATTCCTGTGCTTCATAGACCATTGTCCTTATGTTCTGGAAGGAATTCTTCAAAGCAGCTCAATTTCTTGCCATTTATTATTTACAATATTTATACATCAGTGCAACTGTTACTTCCACACTTTGACAATCCCATCTCGTGATGCAGTAACTATAAATCCTTGAGTTGTCTGGAAAGTGGCAATGTCTGTAATAATATCATGGTGCCCAACCGGCAGAGACTCTGGACCTCTCCGGGGAGTTTCATCAGTGGGCCCTATCTTCTGCTTGTTTTGAATTTCCTGGTGGAGAGGAAAGAAAATAATGAAATGAAAACTGCCAAAACCCAACACTGTGTTTTTTTCAAAAGGCATTTTCCAGCTGTGACCTATGGATTCCCAGGACAGGGTTCAAATCTCCACTTGGACACAGAAATTCACTGGAATAGTGGAATTGGAAAACCACGCTTAAATATCTCACTTACCTTGAAACATTATTTGGGTCCCTATTATTCAGTTCCGACGACAGCCCAGAAAACACAGTTCTGACTTCATTGGTCAGAATCTTATTATTTACATAGGCTGGTGTAAGTTAAACAGTGTCAATCTTGGTTGCTAACTGCTACTAGTTGAAGAGTTTATGCTTATATCACTGTTATACAGCAAGTCCAATGGCTGGAGTGCAACAAGGAACACAAACATCAACTCAGCTTGTGGCAAGTGGCTGGCTAAGACTTACACTGTGCCAGCATATGCATGTGATAGGACTCTGGCCAGTTATATACTGAATATTAAGAAGCTGCTAGTGTGCTCAGCAATGTTCAGCTTGCCATGCTGATTATGAATATGCTCATGCTGCATCATTCGTGTTAGTGACACAGCAATCATTTCATTCAGCCTGTGCTATTTTGTGAACTGAAAGCAAAAATAAAGGAACAACAGAAAGCTTCCTTTGATGCTTTCTAAAACTGTGGCAACATTAATCTATTGTGTTTATATCCTCCCATCAATTACGGTCCATAATTCTCCCACCCCACCCCACCACTTGGTTCCCACAACAACTGAGGCAAAGACAGAGACAAATTTGGCTCAAAACCACCAAGCAATTTTCATGGTCATGTGGAAATGTCCTCTGGTGTACTGAAAAAATGCCCAAGAATAAGCAGTGGAAAGCTGTATTCTTTCGTTGCTGATAGTGCAGTAGAGCACTAGGCTGGAAGAGCAGGGACTACTATGAATGTGTACGATATTTTGAGACTGGGCAACCTGAGCTGGCTGCTGTACTTCTCCAGGCTGTACTAGGATCTTGTGATTGGCAGTGTTAGCATGCAATTTGTGAGCTTCCTGAGAAGGTAATTGTGAAACACTTGTTGAATTATATTCCCAAACAACCAAAATAAATTATAAAGTTATTAAGAGACAGCAATAAAGGCACGAATATGCAGAAACTACACAGTGCTGTGTGAAAATGGGATGCAACATACCTGAACTACTTCTGTTCCTTCAATAATCTTTCGATAGTATGATACAGACGGGGAGCTAGAACTTCCAGCAACTATGTAGGACCTCTCTGGGTATGCTAAATCCCAGAATCTGCAAAGAATAAAACAAATCACTTTTTAAAACCCTCATATCTCCAGCTAGAATCCTTTTAGCCTTAAAATGAAAAAAAATGTTTAAAGCTACTATTATAAGATCAACCATATACAGTGGTGCCTCGCATAACGAGCGCACCGTTTAACGACGAATCCGCATAGCAATCTATTTTTTTAGATTGCTAATGCGATCGCATTGCGATGTTTTAATGGGCAAAACATCGCGCTGCGATGATCAGTAAGCAATATGCCACATAGATATCAAATTTCAAACTATAGTAAATTTCGCTTACCGATCTTCGCATTGCGATGTTCCTAAAACAGCTGATCGGCGGTTCCAAAATGGCTGCCACAACCATTTTCGCGCGGTTTCCTCGCTTACTGAGGGCGCGAAAATGGCGGCGCTATGGAGGAACTTCGCTGAACGGTGAGTTTGGGCCCATAGGAACGCATTAAACAAAGTTTAATGCGTTCCTATGGGTTTTTCCGTTCCATTTAGCGATGTTTCCACATAGCGACGATTAATCCAGAACGGATTAACGTCACTATGCGGGGCACCACTGTAGATCACGCCATGGGCTCGGTCTACCTTGCATCTACTCTTCATTAGTGGTCTCAGTTCATCTAGAAAAATTAAATCCATACAAAACTTGCAGTCTGTCGTGCTTCCAAGCCTTGCAATAAAACCATGGTTACTCAGAAGAAAGCTGCATAAAGCCTTAATGAGAAAGACTATGGCAGGGATGGATCTGCAAAATGTTGTGCACAATTATTTATTATTATTATTGCTGTTATATGTAATCACTCCCCAAACCCATATTTACTAAAAATGCCACATAGATATCAAATTTCAAACTAGATATAGTAAACTTCAGGATAGTCTACCTATCTACCTACTTACCTTTCTTTATTTATTCTCCTTTTTATGCCACCTTTCTCCCAGTGAAGCAACCCAAGGTAGCTCACAAATTATTTAAAAATAAAACCAATTAAAAACACAATAAATTATTGAATTAACAACAATTAACATATAATAGTATTAAAACAGTTTAAAACACATTTAATTTTTTTAAAAATATATGTTAATTGATAATAATATGCAGAATCCAAAAACAGGCCTCTTTACTGCCCATTTAGTAGTTAACATTTGTCTAAAAAGGATGGACTTCACCTATCCCTAGAGAGATAAGAAAGATGATGTGGCGTTTACTCTTGGTGGCACCTACGTGTTGTGCCCTCACAAACGCTCCAGTTATGTTTTCCTCTCACTGCCACCAGTGGATTACCTCAATCCACAATATAAATGAAGTTTGTCAAAACACTTGTCTTGTGGATGCAAACAGAACTTATTTATTGAAGTGAAGCCAATTTAATAATCACAGAAGTTCTTCAGATGAACATAGTACACAAACAAATCATTAACCGGTCTCTCAACACATACTTTTTTCGCTTGCCATATAATTACCACTTTCTCTATCTATTTATCTTAACCAGCTTTATCTCTATTATTTATCTGTTCCTTCTTTCTCTCTGACTAACCAGTCTCTATATCTGTATCTCTAACTGCCTCCATTTCTATCTGTTTCTCCATCCTCCTGCCAAACCTTCATATAGCAGCTGACTCCGTCCCTCCATTCCTCTCATAGGCTCATGCAAATTAGATCACGGCTATGAGTGGCATGAGTGACATCACAGATGGAATCAAGGACATTCCAGAACCTGGGAGCAGCAACCAAGAAGGTCCCCTCTCACAATCGTACTGGACGTTAATGTAAATGTAGTGGGATGTACGGGAAGGGCTTCTCCTGAAGAATTTAGGAACCAAGAAGGCTCATATGGGGAAATACAATCTTTTCAGATATCCTGGATCCAGGAGGCGGGGCTTTGTTGCGGCGCTGCCAGTAACTCCAGAGAAGAGCTCTCTGTAAAAAACTGGAACCGCCTGGTCCGGGATCCCCCTGTTGAAATGGGGATCGAAGGAAGGGGAGAGGAGAGCAACTAATATAAGCTTACAATATATAACAACAAGGTAAGCCGAAGCCTCTAATTTATGAAACAGCCTCATTAAGCTGAAAATAAGAATGAAAATATTTGGCTGAAAGAAGAAAAGTAGTGGCGAGCTTATCTTATCAGCCTGACTCAAAAGCGAAACTAAAGCTTCTCCAAGTGAACTCTTAAAACAGCAGGCTGATTTCAAAGCCGAGAGAGTGAGATGGAAAAATAAATCTTATGTTTCTGGAAAAGAATCCCAGATAGTAACACCATCTGACTGGATTTAAGAGACTTGAGTGTGGTGAATGCAATTTGGCTGGGACACGTTTCTCTTCGCCTTTCCCTGGACTATGTGAACTGTAAAAAATAGAATTTGGTGGTTTTCGGGAGAAGAAAGGAGTTGACGTGGTCGACTGGATTAAGGAGTATTAAGGGGTTAATGAAGATCACAAGACGGGCTTCAAAGACAACTACTGGATAGTTTGAGACTTGATGATTGTTGTTCTGTTTGTCGGATTGCGGACTGCGTGTGAGCCTGATAATAGAAGCTTGCTGAACTCAGGAGAAGAAAAATTGTGCCACGGTTCTATTTGATTCTGTATTTGCTGGGTTAAAAGTTAATCTTATATTATAATATTTGGATAAAGATTGGAGGGAGATCTAAGGTTTATGATGAGGGGTTTGGATTGTTGATAAAATGGTGGAAACTGTGGAAGGATATATAAGGGGTGATTATTGTAGTTAAGGGTATAGTACTATTTATACAAACCCCAAAGGTGGAGATGGACTCCAGAAATGCAAGAGAAGAAATGGAGACTGGGTCTGTTCAATCCCAAGGTTTTGGAACAGTGGTACAAGAAATAGAAAAGGAATGGCAGATCAATATGCAAAGGATAATAATAATGGGGTTTCAGCAAGTGAATGAAAGTCTTAGCAAAATAGATTTGATGAAAGGGATGAAAGAGGGGACAGTAGATGCCAAACAAAACTTAAATGAAACTGTACAAACTTTAGAACCGTCTGTATTAGGCATGACACCAAGTAACATAAATGTGATAGAGAGTTATCCAGTGACCTATGCAGCCTCTAAAATTAAAAAGCATTATGTCAAAAATCTCAAGGAAGCAGAGATAATGAAACCAGAGAATCTTATGGTGAAAATATGGGAAGTAAAAAAAATGGATATTCTGTCAGATGGGATGAAAGACTGTTCAATTCAAAAGGAAACTGAACGATGGGATGTACTGTATAAATGGCAGCAGCTACCAGACAGTGTTGGAGTAACATAGAATAAAACTAAAATTAAATGATAAGATAAAAGCAGGAGGGTAACCAAATGGTGAAAAAGCAAAAAGTTGACTTGTATTTGTAAGATGAATTAATTGGATGATGGTATATTTTATGTTCTCCTATCTGCCAACCTCTTTCCCCCTATTTCCCTTTACTTTTTGTATTCTCCATCCCTGTTCTTAAATAAATATTTAAAAAGGAAAAATAAAACAGATATCCTGGATCCAGGTTGCATAGGCAAAGCTTTATAGGCAATAACCTGCACTGTGAATTGGGCCCAGTTCACAGTGCAGTTGTTCACAGTGCCAATCGACTATTACAGTTGTTGTAACAGGGAAGTTATGTGATCCTTGTAAGCAGTCCCAGTCAGCAACCTGGGAGCAGCATTCTGAACCAGCTGAAATACTAAGAGCCCTGTAGTGCAGAAGTTAAACTGTAGTACTGCAGACAGTACTCAGGTCTAGTGTTGCTTGCTTAATTATGTTGTAAACCGTGCAGAGAGAGTGCTTTAGCACAATGGGGCAATATATGTCAAAATAATAATGATGATGACAGTAATAATTGTGTGCCATCTAGTTGCCCCCAACTTAGAGAAAGATAGCTAGACAGACAGATATATTAGATAAATATACAGATAAACATAGTATATGTATTATATACATAGTGTTGCTTGCTTAATTATGTTGTAAACCGTGCAGAGAGAGTGCTTTAGCACAATGGGGCAATATATGTCAAAATAATAATGATGATGACAGTAATAATTGTGTGCCATCTAGTTGCCCCCAACTTAGAGAAAGATAGCTAGACAGACAGATATATTAGATAAATATACAGATAAACATAGTATATGTATTATATACATTATTTATTTACTTATTTATTTATCACTTTGCTTAGCTTAATTTAACTTAAAAGACAGTCCCACAAAGTGTGTGCTACAATAATCCAAGTGGGATATAATTAAAGCACATATTACTTCAGAAATCAGCATGGATGGTGCATCAGCTTTAACTCTGCAAATGCACTCCTGGCCACTGATGAGACCTGAGCATCCAGGCACAGGGAGGAGTCCAAGAGTACACCAAGGCTTCATGTTTATCAAGGGGAATGCAATCCCATCCAGCACAGACTGAATCCCTATTCCCTGATCTGCCTTTTGATTGACCGGGAGCATCTCTATTTTGCCTGGAATAGGTTTCAATCTGGTTGCCCTTCTCCAATCTATTACAAATAGCAGATACTAGGTTCAGAAGAGGTATAGCTTCCCTGGAATTAGGCAGATGAGAGAAAAAGTTGAGTGACATCAAACTTTAAAACTCTTGACAACCTCTCCCAGTTGTTTTTGTATACGTCAAATAGCATGGAGGACTAAATGGAACCCTGAGAGACACTACAGGGCAGGTCCTATCTACAAAGTTGTTGAACACATTCTTCTTTGCTCACTAATGTGTGGAAATAGATAGGCTGAATTCTCACAAAAGGATTTTTCTAGAACATCCCATGGGATTTTATGCAGATTATATTTTAAGATTATAGCCTGTGAGGTGCTGAAATATAATGACAAATATTTATTGGATATTTACCTTATCTTCATGTCTGAACCTGCTGTCAATAATATAGGATTTCCATCTGCTGGGCTGCAGTATATTCCATGAACACTATGAGGTGAAGGCTAATTGGTGGAAAAGTAGAAATACTGAATATTAATACTCAGGTGTTAGAATATTTTAAAACTTTAAAATCCCTTGATATTTTAATTACCAATTGTATTTTAAGGCATCAAATATGAACACAAAGCTGTGGCTTGGAATAAAATCAATGGGACTCAAAAACAAAAGTTATTTTACTATAGAAGTGCTTTTGTTTAAATTTGCATCCAAGCAGTTAATTTACATAGTTTAGTATATTTAGAAACCAGATCATTAGAAAGAGAAAGCTGGCAAATAGTAATAAGCAGCACTACGCTTTCACCATCAAGATAAAAATAACATGAAATAAACAATACAATTAAGAATTGAACATTAAGACAATAGAAGATTATAGCCTCAAGGCTAGAATCCCTTTCTCCTAGGAGTAAACCCAATGTAACTTAATGGCAGTTATGTTAAAATATGCATACACAGGATTGCATTGTAAATCAGTCATTCTCAACCGTTTTCCAGCCACAGCCATTGTTAGTCTCCATTTATTAAATTCTATTTTTGTAGTCATTGCTATGTATTTTCCAAGAAAACTGCCAGTATCTTATAATGCAAAGGTATTGTACCTTTGTTGTTTGCCTCTTGCCATGCCTATGTACTTGTGTGTATGTTTCTGACTTTCCTTAATGCTGTTGTGTAGTCCGTAGGGACCCCTTCAAGGATTGCTGCTTTGTTGTGGCAAAAGGGCTTGAGTAATTTGGAGAAGCTATGGGCTACGCTGTGCAGGGACACCCAAGACAGACATATCACATGGAGAGTTCTGAGTAAATGTGATCCACCTGGAGCAGGAACTGGCAAGCCACTCCAGTATATTTGCCAAGAAAATTCCATGAACAGAAACAAAAGGCTAAAAGATATGGTGTTGAAATATTAGCCCCTCAGGTTGGAAGGCATCCAACATGCTACTGAGGAACAGCAGAGGGCAAGTACATGTAGCTCCAAAGCTAATGAAGTGGTTGGGCCAAAGCCGAAAGGACGCTCAGCTGCAGACGTGCCAGGAAGTGAAAGGAAAGTCCGATGCTGCAAAGAAGAATACTGCATAGGAACCTGGAATGTAAGATCTATGAACCTTGGTAAACTGGATGTGGTCAAACATGAGATGGCAAGAATAAACATTGACATCCTAGGCGTCAGTGAAATAAAATGGACGGGAATGGGCGAATTCAATTCAGACGATTATCATACCTATTATTGTGGGCAAGAATCCCATAGAAAAAATGGAGTAGCCCTCATAGTCAACAAAAGAGTGGGAAAAGCTGTACTGGGATACAATCCCAAACCTGATTTCAATACGAATCCAAGGCAGACTTTTAAACATCACAGTAATCCACGTTTATGCACCAACCACCGATGCTAAACAGGCTGAAATTGACCAATTCTATGAAGACTTACAACACCTTCTAGAAGTGACACCAAAGAAAGGTGTTCTTCTCATTATAGGGGATTGGAATGCTAAAGTAGGAAGTCAAGAGATAAAAGGAACAACAGGTCAGTTTGGCCTTGGAGTTCAAAACAAAGCAGGGCAAAGGCTAATAGAGTTTTGTCAAGAGAACAAGCTGGTCACCACAAACACTCTTTTCCAAGAACATAAGAGGCGACTCTACACATAGATATCACCAGATACGCAATACCGAAATCAGATTGATTATGTTCTCTGCAGCCAAAGATGGAGAAGCTCTATAAAGTCAGCATAAACAAGACCTGGAGCTGACTGTGGCTCTGATCATCAGCTTCTTATAGCAAAATTCAAACTTAAGCTGAAAAAAGCAGGAAAAACTTTTGGGCTAGTCACGTATAATCTACACCGAATCCCTTATGAATACACAATGGAAATGAAGAGCAGATTTAAAGAACTAGATTTGGTGGACAGAGTGCCGGAAGAACTATGGATGGAGGCTCGCAACATTGCACAGGAGGCAGCAACAGAAACTATCCTAAAGAAAAGGAAATGCAAGAAAGCAAAGTGGCTGTCCAACGAGGCCTTACAAATAGCAGAGAAGAGAAGGGAAACAAAATGCAGGGGAAATAGGGAAAGGTACAGAAAACTGAATGCAGCCTTCCAAAGAATAGCAAGGAGAGACAAGAAGGTCTTCTTAAATTAACAGTGCAAAGATACAGAGGAAAATAACAGAAAGGGAAAAACCAGAGATCTCTTCAAGAAAATTAGAGATATTAAAGGCCCGAAAAACATCTACTTCTGCTTCATTGACTATGCAAAAACCTTTGACTGTTTGGACCACAACAAACTATGGCAAGTTCTTAAAGAAATGGGAGTGCCTGACCATCTTATCTTAGATAGATTAGGCATCCTTCAATCTCGAGAGACTATGGTAACATGCTCTGTATGGAGGACTTGGAACAGTGTCTAGTATGGCTGAGAAGGCCAATTCAAGAGGGACAATCCCTTCCACACTAAAGACAAATACAATCTGTCCCCTGTCCAGCTCCCTGATTTTGCTGCTTTTGTGACTGCCTCTTTGCCTCGGCCTGCTGGACAAGGGTCCTTCAAATTAGGAGGCTGTGATGCAATGCCTGTCTCCAGGCTGAATGCTCAGATGTCAGGGTTTCCCATCTGTTGAGGTCCATTCCTAAGGCCTTCAGATCCCGCTTGCAGATATCTTTGTATTGCAGGTGTGGTCTCCTCTGGGGCAATGTCCCTGAACTAATTCTCCATATAGGAGATCTTTTGGAATCTGACCATCAACCATTCTCACAACATGCCCAAGCCAACGTAGACGTCGCTGTTTCAGTAATGTATACATGCTAAAAATTCCAGCTCGATCTAGGACTACTCTATTTGGAACTTTGTTCTGCCAGGTGATACAAAAAAATGTGTAAGAGACAACGCATATGGAAGGTGTTCAGCTTCCTCTCCTGCCTTGCACAGAGGGTCCATGACTCACTGCAGTACAGGAGTGTGCTCAGGACACAGGCTCTATAGATCTGGATCTTGCTATATGCCGTCAGCTTCTTATTGAGTCATACTCTCTTTGTGAGTCTAGAGAACGTGGTAGCTGCTTTTCCAATGCATTTATCCCGCTCGACATCCAGGGAAAGTGTGTCAGAGATCATCGAGCCAAGGTACACAAAGTTATGAACAATGGGGATCCAAGGCCACTTTTATTTCTGCTAAAGTTGGTTCACTGTCCAATTCTTCCAAGACAGGCAGGCACTCAATGTTATTTAGTGCCTCTTCTGTTACTACATTCTCTCTGGAATATAGCTCATAGTAGTGCTGCACCCAGTGGCCCATCTGCTGTGCTTGGTCCTGGATGATCACGCCTGTAGCAGATTTCAAGGGAGCAGATTTCTTCTGTATTGGATCTAAAGCCTGCTTGATACCATCATACATTCCTTTGATGTTACCTGTGTCCACTGCTATCTGTATCTGAGAGCACAGCTGAAGGCAATAATCGTTGGAACATCTCCTGGCAGCTTGTTGGACTTGGTTATTAGCAGCTCTAAGAGCTTGCACGTTGTACTCACTAGGACAGGCTGCTAGAGCTTGCAAGTTGTACTCACTAGGGCAGGTTGCTAGAGCTCTCCTCTTATCCTCAAGGGTTGGCATCAACTCCTTCGAATGGGCTTCGAACCAGTCGGCCATCTTTTTGGTCTTCTTGCCAGATGTGGACAAGGCCGTGTTATACACAGTGTTCTTGAAGTGTTCCCATCGTTCAGGTGCATTTGCATCAGCTGGGCCTGGAAAGGTTTCCTCAAACGCTTGGGCAAATTCCTCCACTTTTCTTTGATCACGAATCTTGCTGATGTCGATACGTGGTCTTCCTTTTTCTTGTGATACAATCTCTTTGTTCACAGTTTTAGTTTACTACACACCAGGGAGTGATCAGTATCACAATCAGCACTCTGATAACTGTATGTGATTGTAACACTAGATCCTGCTCATCTGTTATTTTCTACCACTGATGCCAGTGCTTCGATCTTAGATGTCTCCAGGAAACTCTGTATTGAAGATTCGTATTAGGAAACATGTTGCTGACGCAAAGACCATGATAACAGCAAAACTCCAGCGAGCGTTGGCCATTTTCATTCATCTTCCCAATGCCAAAACAGCTTAGACAAGTGGGCCAAAAATTGTGATCAGCACCAACTCTAGCATTAAAGTCTCTGAGGATGGACAGTGGCTCCCTCTCAGAGACTTTTTTAATAGTACCTGCAAGATCGTCATAGAATTTGTCTTTCACTTCTGTAGTGGATGACAGTGTTGGTGCATATGCACTAATGAGGGTGACCGGTCCCACTGATGAGTGGAGCTGTGGAGACAGGATTCTTTCACTCCCCACAGTAGGTGGAACAATGGATCTCAGCAGAGTATTTCTGACTGCAAAGCCAACACCATATTCCCTGGTCTCATTCAATGATTTTCCCTTCCAGAAGAATGAGAAGTTTTTTTCTTTGACAGATCCCGAGTCTGGCAAGCTCGTCTCTTGCAGGGCAACAATGTCCATCTGCAGTCTACTCAGTTCCATGTTGATGACAGCTGTCTTGCACACGTCATCTATTTCCTGCAGGTCGTCAGAAAAGCCGTAGTCAGAAAAGCCAGGGGTCACTGTCCAACATTCCAGGTGCCCAACTTTAGGGCAGAAGCTTTCTTACGATTGTTGCAAGGTGCAGGGTTGCTGAAGTTCAGCTGAAGAAAGTCTGAAATCTGAGGGGTTATTTACAGCTGAGGAAAATGCTGGGCAATTAAAAGCACAGACAGCTGAATCACCATCAGATTCTCCTTCCCCAGTAACCAGAGTGAGGGCTTAACTTCGGCAAAGACTCATGACATGAAGATCAGAGGATCGCATGAATGCTTTCCACAGGAACATCAGGTCAACCAGTCCTGAGTTTTAAGAGAATGGAATGCTTCTAGGAGTCTGATGACTGTTTTGCTATATAATCTGCACCTAGAAGGCTTCGAAGCTTGTGGAAGCAACAAGTCAACACTCTGGCTTGCATCCATGTTCCTGGTTATCTTGGACCTTGTTCTCTGGACCCTTGGCTTTGGACTCTGACTTCTGACTACGGTTTGTGTTTTGGCTTTGGCATTTTGGTATCTGCTTTGCATCTTCTGAACTTGTGATATTGGACTGGCCTATTGGACTTTCGCCTGTTGAAACCCCCTGGGAATGTGACAAGGGTAGTCAATCTGCTTGTCAGCTTTCACCCTAAAGCCCACACATCCCGTGAGGTTAACAGACCGTGACGAGGTAGCACCTTACTGACTAGAGACTGCCCAGCTTAAGGCGGGTGGTAGCTACCTAGTAAGGTGCAATGACCTCTCCCACCGTCAGAAGTAGCCCCTGGCGTAATGCTCTACGCCAATCGAGCAAAGACTTATAACCGGTAACTGCTACTTCCCGTGTTGTTTGCACGCTGTATGTGAAGCTGGAGTGTTCTCTCCAGAGCAAGAAGCCTGGGTAAAATAATATGGAGGATAGGCTTTTAACCAAGCAGCAAATCCCCCCTTCACGTCGCTGAAATAGTCCAATGGAAAGGCAAGAGCCAATACCACTGGTTCCAGCGACATTGCAGGAGTTGCCAGAACGACATGAACTGCCTCCAGGACTCCAGCTCTGGATTTTACCTCGAGGTTAACTCCTGAAGCCTTTTCCATCAGTGGATATAGCAACAAGGCAGTGGAGGTTTGAAATCGGAGTTTTCCTTCTCCTAGATGGGGTGCCTTCCAAAGCTGACAAGCCCCACCTACCTGGCCTGCTCTCTAATAGTGCGGAAGTATGATCCAACCCTTAAAACTTTCCTACCCCCCCCCCAGGTGTATGCAATGCTTCCTATTTACCAGATTAGGGTCAAAAATAGAATCAGAGAATTCTATTTCTGACTGCAAAGTCAGTCTCTCTCCTGAGAAATCTGTATGTGGGACAGGAAGCAACAGTTAGAACTGGATATGGAACAAGTGATTGGTTCAAATTGGGAAAGGAGTACAAAAAGGCTGTATATTGTCTCCCTGCTTATTATATATAATAAGCTTCCCTGCCTGAGCTAGGTACAGTGGACCCTCAACTTACAGACGGCTCGACTTACAGACTTCTCTGGCCGCAAAATTTAGGTTCGACTTGCAGCCAGAGAATCGACCTACAGACCAGAAAAAACCAAAATGGAACAAAAATGGAACAAAAACGGCCAGTTACGGGATTAATTGGTTTTCAATGCATTGTAGGTCAATGGAGACTTGACCTACAGACTTTTCGACCTGCAGCCACTGTTCCAATACGGATTAATTCCGTACGTAGAGGGTCCACTGTAATGCCATAAACACATCAAAGGAATATCGTAAAACAGAATCATAAAACTTGCATAATAAACCTTATAAGATGGCCTATGTAGAACTGTTTCCAGTCTGTGGTCCCCTTCAAATGTGTCAGGGCCTCCTGTTGATAATTGCTGCTATAAGTTTGCAAGTGATCTTTGAAAACATGGCTGTTTACGCAGGCTTTCTCAGATATTACATAATCACAGTGCAGTGGTTTTTCCAGCGCTTATATTATCTGTTCCATCACCTTGCCTGTATTATTTTGTGTTGTTCTTTAATTTACATGGATTTATATGTTTCATTTGATTTTTATTATTATTACTATGTACAATTTTTTTCTTTAAAGTGTTATTTGTTGTTTTATCATGTTGTGAACCGCCCAGAGTGGCCTTGGTAGCCAGATGGGTGGTACAGACATTGAATGAATGAATGAATGATGCCCAAAATTCAAAGTCACCAAGCCAAACCTGCATTTCTGAAAGAGGAGGTGCACTGCTGGCCCATAATGTGAAGCGTCTGTCACCTGTTTCCATATCCCACATGGAGACTTCATTATTGCCTTGAACAGCTATAGAAAAAGAAAAGACAACAGTTATAAATTAAAAGTACAGTACAAGGGCATATATATGCCTTGGGATTTACTTTTCCCTTCTATCCTGTCAATATAAAAACAACGAAGAAAGAGATGATAGTTACCTTAGCTGCTTACAGCATTCATATCTGCTTTGTGAAGACTCTTGCTCAGTAATCCAGAAAATGTGCTTTCATATTCTATGTCCTTATTCTGCCCTTAATACAGTGGTGCCTCACTTGATGACATTAATTCGTTCCAGCGAAATCGCTGTAGAGCGAAATCGTCATCAAGCGAAATAAAAAAAACATTGAAACGCATTGAAAACCGGTCAATGCGTTCCAATGGGTGAAATGCCTGCTTGTCCAGGGAAGATCCTCCATACAGCGGCCATTTTCTGGTGCCTCTAATGTGAGGAATCTGTCCCTAACACAGCAGGGAGCCATTTTCTATAGCAGGTGGCCATTTTGATCAGCTGTTTGCTGATCGTTGTAAAGCAAAAAATTGGTTCCTGAAGCAGGGAACCGATCAACATTAAGCGAAATTTCCCCATCTAAACATCGTTTTGCGATCACAAAAAATTCAACGTTAAGCAGATTCGTCATCAAGCGGGGTAATCGTCCAGCGGGGCACCACAGTACTATGGAAGGGAAGGAGGGTGAAGGTTTGTAATACTTACCTAGCACCTCCTTCATCTAAACAAGAACTCCAGCACAATATTAATCAGGAAGTCTGACAAATGCTCCTCACTAGAACCAGCTCAGGAAATTTTGCTGGCCAGCACAATGGCACTGTCACGCACCCCCGGTGACTCCTATGTGTTTTGCCCCTCACCCAGGTTCATCTTTGGACACAACTTGTTCCTTTTTCCTCTTTCGCTGCCACCAGAGGATATTATCCTCACTACATCAATTATGAGTCTCACACTCTTGCTGCCAAATAAAACAAGGTTTATTTAAGGATAAATAAGTGAATCACAGAAGGAAAATTACTGATGTTCTATTATCATTCATTCAGTAAACTTGTATTTGATTATATGTACGACTGCTTGTTTTCATTTACTTTAATCAAGATCTCAATATAGTCTGTCTGTCAATGTACTTCTAATTCCTTTTAACTCTTTAATATTCTCTAACTAACCAACTGTCCAGTATCTTGTCTAACTACTTCTCAGTCTTCTCTCTAACTGTCTAAACGCTTCACCATCTTTTCCCTAACTCTCTCTCTGTCTGTCCCCCTCTAACTCCCTCTCTGGCACTCCCAGTTCCCTTGACTCCGCCCCCCTGTCCTGTCATAGGCTCCTGCACCGGAGCTCTAAAATGACTGACAGGAGTGACGTGTGGGCTGTCCGCCACAGGCACCTTCACCCCAATCCAGTTGCAAAAACTGACAGGGCTAGCATTTGAGCCTTACTTTAATACTAGAGATGAGACAGTCTTCCCCTGCCACACCTTAGGCAGAACCCAGGAAAAGGGGGCCCAAGCCAAGTCATATATACCCCATCTAACAACACAGAAAAACATATGGGAGACTGTTACTGTTCTCCCACTGTACTGGACCTGAAGCAGATGCCTCCCTTTGCCTAATGACAGGGCTAGTTCAGTCCCCTACATACCTCTACAAGCTATTTTCCCCATCTTTTAATCCTGTGCCACAACCATAGCAATTTCTTTCATTTAGCAGTCCTTTCCTTTCTTCCGCCTTAGTCTTATTTATTACTGCCAGAGTAGCCACACTCACTGTTTGGACAGAACTCCCATCCACAGGCTCCTGAGCTCCTAGTATTTCATAAAAATAAATATGAAACTGCCCATAGAGATGTAATCAAAACAGAGGCCAGTATAGTGGTACATACCATTTTAAAACTGATGTTAAATAATCATACAAACATGAGATTCCTTTTGTTATTTCCTCCAGGTCTCAGCTAGCTGTACTGGGAAGGGCCATGCCCCCTGCCCGCTTATCTGGTAACCCAACTGACAGAGAGGTTGAAGTGAGTGAGATGCACCAATGTTTTTGGGCAAGGATGGCAGGCACTGTCTTCTATGTGTATGGCAAAAACAAATCAAGAAAGTAACAGCCATTTATAGGAATCATAAATTCCATGAGTACTCTGATAAAAGGAAAAAGCTGAGCAGTACCTGCAATCACCCATGACTGGGAAAGGGGATGCATCAACAGTCTTCTGATCCGTGCCCTGGAAGGGTGGGAATGGCTGGAAATGGGTAACTGGAACCTCATGTCCCAGCAAGCCATGGTGCCACTACTTGTACCTGGGAAAGAAAAATGTAATTGCCATCAGCAACTTAAAAATTTATTGAACCATATCAGCAACCCCATCTACATGAGCATCAATATGTTTAATGTAAAGAAAGCACCATTCCCTTCTATTAATCATTACTACTTTCCAAAATTCATTTTAAAAGAGCTTCAGTCTGTACTGTTCTTCCTTTCACAACAGCACTGTGTAGTAAGCCACTGTAATTTTGCAACTTACATGTGGGTCTAGGAGAACATGGTTCACTGAAATTAACCCCATGTCAGAAGTGGCAACTGAAATAAAATCTATCCATTCTCCAGAAACACGAGTAGACTGGCCTTTCTAAAAGCTAGGATATGTATTTTCACTTCCACCTACATGTAAAGGGCAATTTTATTTACACGGTTCTAATATATATACAGCTACGCAAGGAAGAAAACACCAAGATGTGTCTTACCGATACAGAGCCAGCACTGATGCATGTCAACAGCAAATGAGGTTATAAGTCCCAACCGCAAATCATGTTTTAATGTCCAGGCATTACTGGAGGATCTCAGGTCCCATCCTACCAAGGAACCATTCACAGTGGCATAAGCCAACACTGACTGGGCTCCTGAGTTAAAATGATGCATGTCTACCACACAGCCATCATCCTTCTGATCCAAACACCTGGATCAAGATGAAGATAAAATAAATATCATTCATTGACATTTCTTGCAGCCTGTGACATTTAGAAAGTTTCATCTCCTAACAGTCTTGCACTGCCCTGTATTTTTGGTCTTACACAATTCTTTGCAATTGCTGATTCTGGATCAGTATATTAAACATGCACCAACCTAATTGCTTCATGCATACAGCAGCATGAGGTGGAGGAATGTTGAGGTGGTAGAGTGGAGTGCACCAATTCACAAGGAGCAAGTAGGCCATTTTGTTTGTGTTTCCCCATTTAAACATACACACAGAGTATTGCAATTAAAAAAGTAAAGGCTAACACACCCAGGAGAAGGGTGGGCATAAGCCATGAACTCTATCTGCCAGCTTACTACTTGAAAAGAGTGTTTGTTTCATTTTTTTAATTGATATTTTGAAAAATTCAAAATATGGCCTTCTAGTTTGAAGTGGTATGATTCATTATATCTCCTAGTGCTCTAGCAAGCCATTGTGCTAAAAATACACAATGAAGTTGCATTTATTTCTTTTCACTTTTGTTAAGGATTGTTAATGAGGAACTGCCACCAAGAACAGGAGATACATTAAAGGATGTATACCTATTTTGAATTGGATGGATCTTTGGAGATTTAGGTAGTTTTGAAGCTTCAATCCCAAGCAGTTGAATGGCTCCATTATCTGAAGCAATAGCCAAGTAATGAGAACCCTGGCAAAAAGTGAGAGTCATCACACGCCCTCCAATCCTAGAATATGTCAGAATTGATCTATTGAACATAACAGAAAGAGATACTTTAAAATATTGTTTTCTGATCATTAAAAAAAAAATCCACTGAAGTTCAATAAAATACCCAAAGCAGCATACAAAACAGTGGCTTGCAAACCCTTCATTCATCACAGCTTCTTTTATTATGTCTATGCATCTGCTATTCTGTTAGGGTTGTGAGCATTTTCTGTGCTTCCTCCCATTATCGATCTACAAGTTCTAGAATTTAGAATTTACTGGTAATGGGCAAAGTGATGATGGTCGATTGAGCATAAGAAAGGAATGGGGTATCTTATGATACAAATCCAAAAAGCTTGTTTAAGTAATCTGTGTGTCTAGTTTGATTAGAAGGCAAAGGACTATCTTTGCCTAGAAATCTGGTTTCATATATTTTCACTCTAGTGAGCAGATGGGTATGTTATATGTTAAGGAACTAATCCTATTAAAACAGAGATGCACTGGGACCAAGTTCTTCCTTTGCAGCATACTCCTCTTTACAACAACTATTCCAATATGATCTACTGACAATTGGTGCTACTGCTTGAGAGGTGGAAAATTCTGGGGCTTAGGAAGGAAGACCTTGTCCAGGGGGTGGTATGTGGTGTCTGTGTGTGTGTGTGTTTTCAAAACCTTCTTCTAGATGCTGGGTTAGATATAAGATTGGAGACATAGAAGAAGCCTTTTCAAAGAGTGGAAAGCATCTGGACATACCCTGGCCAACGGCATGTAGCTGGCTAATTCTTCTTATCCAGAAGTGCTGAACTGTAAGCTGCTTTGAACTATTGTTTGGAAATGCTGTATTCTAGCCCCTTAAGCCACATATTTTTAACAAAAATAGCAGATCCCTCATTTTCGCAACACATATTTACAGTTCCCAAAGTTGGCCATCACTTGGCCTACACTTTACCTAGTTGTAGTAGTCTTGCCTTCCATTTTCTGACTGTTCCAGATTTTCACTGTTCCATCATTTGAGCATGTGGCAAAAATTGAATGTTCATCAGAAACTCTGATGCGGTTCACTGCAGCTTTATGTTCATGAAGATGAGCAACTAGAAGTCCTTTAGGATGCCATCCTAAGGTAACAGCCAAAAAAGGAGAGGGTTTTTTTTTATAATTATTATTTTCCTCTATCCAGTAAAACCACAAAAGGGCCCCTGCAAGCCTGCCCTCTAACCAAACTGTGAAACTGTCAAAAGGACAGCAACATACACCAAGGGTATCAGGCATAATTCATATCCTGTTCCATTGATTCTGGAAGTTATTAGGAGAAGAATGTTAAACCAATATAACACATCTCATAGACAAATATTTGAAATTGTGAATAGACATGGGCTATTTGTATTCGTATCCCATGGGATACAAATATGAATAGTGGCACCACAGGTGACACAGAGGTCCATTCCCTACTCCAAGAACCAGCTGGTTCATTCACCAGTGGTCGAGCAGCCCTGGGGTCCTTTGTCATCATGCCAATCCAGGAAGGATCCTGCCCAACGCTTCCCGGACTTTACCATCAGCCAACCACTGTGGCAAGGAGATGGGATGAGGAGTCTACCAGCTCAACTGATGAGTGGTTGGCTGTGTGGGGATGCAGGGAAGCACCAGCTCGTCTCCTTCCCAGATTGGCACAACAATAACAAAGAACAACCCCAGTGCCACAGTGACCAGTGAGTGGACCGGCTGTTTCTGGAGGGAAGGAATGGGCCTCCATGGTGTCACTATTTGTATCCCCAGGGATACTAATAAGAAAAGTCCGTGTCTAGTTATGAATCAATGAAATATTTAAATACAGTTATTATAACTTAAAACTATAAATGATCAAATAGAACAAAATAAAGTCAATTAGAGTGTAGGGAAAGTGCTTTGTAGGCACCAAGAATAGCAGTTCTGGTGGCTACACAGGGGATGCCAAGATTTAGACAAGAAAACAAAGAGCTGTATTGTTTAATGTAATCATGGAATACAGTACCCTACAATACTGAAGGGGATTGCTCTGGTGAACCACCGGAACAGTTTTTAATCTTTGTGATGAAACCTTGATGAGATTTGGATCAGCCAATCTGTCTGATCTACAGGGAATTCTCACTAATTCAAGTGTTTCTCCATTGATGCCAATGGAAGGAGCATCATATGTAATCCTTGCTTTCTCCTTTTTCCACTAATATCCATAGTGGAACTCAATGGAACTCCCATGGACAGGGGCTCTAATGGCACAAATGAAGCACACATGGGGCTCAAAACTCTGGCAACAGTACATTTTGAGAGACATCCATCCATCCGTCCATCCATCTCACAAGAAGGTTACACTTCTGAAAATTAAGACGACTTCTCACATTCTACTTTATCTTTACAACCAAATAACAGCAATACTTTTTTGACTCACTAGAGCTTATCTAAATATTTCAGATATGTTGCAATGCATTTCTTTTGCTCTAAAAAATAAATATTTTGCATTGCTTTTGGTGCTAGAAATGTCAGCTGTTACATGGAGACAAAAGAGATAAAAGATTACAGTTAAGGGCCATATATTAATTATGAAATATAAATACCAACATGTTTCTGTCTCTCATCACTAACAGTTGAAACACCAGATTGTATCTGTGTAAAATCTGTGTAAACGGACTTCAACATTAAAGTCAATACTGAATGGGTAAATTTGTCCAAGGGTACCTGGTATGGTGTAGTGGACAGACTCATGGACTAGAATTCAGGAGACCTGGGTTTGATTCCCCGGGTCTGCCCTGGAACTGCTAAAACCACTCCTTAAATACCTCTCTTACCTTGAAAACCCTATTAGAGTCATCCTGACTTGATAGCACATAACAAAGTTGTCCAAAGGCCTATTCTTTGTTTAATTTTTTCTGTATACAAACAATGTACAAAAATACTCATTTAGCACTCTCCATTTTGGCAGTTTCATGGCAGTTAAATGTAGATGTGCTTCCCTTGACTTTTGACAATTTTGCTCTCTCTCCCGTTGAAAACTAGTTTGTTTTAATTATGCCCTTTTTCTTCATTTACTAAAACCTGCCCTGAGGTTACATTATGATAAAGAGTGAGCTACAAACATTCTAAGCAAACATCAATTTTTGTATGAAACATTCACACACAAAGGAATTCAAAGGTGTCCAAATAGACAGACATTTTTGCTGTAACATATTAGAAAGCCAATTGCTACCCATACATCAGCACAACAATATTCACTGGTAAACTATTATTACACTACTGGATATATCTTCATTTAAACAGGATTATGGATATTTGCCTACAAAGCAAGAGAGAGAGAGAGAGAGAGAGAGAGAGAGAGAGAGAGATCTCAGTTTCTAGTCATTGTTGCTTTTTGGTTTTCGGGTCTGTTATTTTTTTGACCAACACATTTATTTAATTTTTTTCAGCATATCATGCAACAGATACTTAAAAAACACTTATATTATGAAAAGACAAGCATACAATAGAATTGGGCAAGGCAGAAGATGAGGTAGTAAAGAGATAGATAAAACAGCTCAGTAAATGACCAATTAAGCAGATTTTGTAAGAAACAAAACCACAAAACAAAGTGTTTGGTAGAGCTGGCACATGAGTGTTAGCATTTACGTAGTTGATAAGCAAGTATAATATTTCATTAAAATGAGAAGTATAATCACCCTGTCTATGGGAATGCACCTGCTCATTTAGTTTATTCTTTAATGCTGGTTCCCAAACATTAGCATATCAAGTTGACAAAGATAGATTACAGAAAGCCTTCCAGTGAAAACTAATTATGATCCCGGCATATTGACAAAGAACGATAAGAGATTCATGCAACAAACTCAAATTCTCATTAAGAAATACTGATAATAAGCCATAAAGTAATCGTCTGATTTATTATTTTGCTCATTTCTCTGAAAAATCCATTCCTAACAAGTATCTTGCTATATGATCACCACATGTCCAAATATGAACCATTTTCCTTATGCCCTCTCCCATATTTAGAACTAATGGTATGACTGATTTGATTTAAATAGACTGGAGTGAGGTACCATCTGTGGAGCTGTTTGTAATTGTGCTCCCTAACTTTGGTAGACACTGCCTTAAAAGGGGATTTGTTCCAAGGGAGTGCCTGGTGTCACCAGGAATTGTGATAACAAGGTCACTTCCCCTGCCAGCTAAGTACCTTGGGAGAACTTGTATGTGGTCCCAACAGATTTAATTGAGAGGCTAACCCTCTATGTCTTGTTACTGTATATAAGACCAGCTCTTCCAATGGGAGATTTGCCTGAGAGACCTGCAATTTATCAAAGGGATTGTCATGAAATGAGCAACTTGAACTGAGGCCAGGAAGGGCAAACCTCCCCAAATTGTCCCTTCCGCTGAGTCATAGTGTTGTTTGGATTATTCCTAATAAAAAACTCTTTCAATCTATATAAAGCCATTTGCTTCCATTCCCTATAAACTGAAAACTACTCACTATAGCAAGGTATGAAAAGGGAAGGTGAACTGATTAATTTATGGAACACTTAGAAAAAGACTGCCTATTTTTAACACTGGCTTGGAACATTCCAGTGAAAAAGACACCCTTTTGATAAAGTCAGATTTAAGCCCTCTGCTAATAATGGCAACTAGCAATGTACTTTGTCATGAGTCCTTAACCTTACAAGCTGCTGAAGGAGTAAAGCTGGATAGTAGGTCCAAAGGTGAGGGATGCTGAGACCTCCCTTGAATGGCAAAAAGTGATTTAGTAAGTCTTGGTCATTTACCACAGTGAATGAATGGTCAGTTTCAATAAATGATAAAAATCCTGCTTAGCTGCACTATCCAATCATACAGTCAACCCTTGGCTTACGAATGGCCCTAGTTACGAACATTTCGACTTACGAACCACTCTGATAGGAAAATATGGACTTGACTTGCGAACTTGGATTTGAGTTACAAATGAAAAAAAAAGTGCGGGGAAGGCAGGGAAAGCGAGAAATTTGAACTTTTAGTTAGCGAAGAGGCTGCTTGTCTGCTTCCCTGCTCATCCAAGTGGTTAGAGAGTGGGAAGAGAGACCTGGGACTGCCTGGTATCGTCATTTTTAAAGGTAAAATTTAGTTTAAAAGGTGCTTTGTTTGGGCTAAACAGTGCTTGGGTAAAAGGGAGCTTGGTTTGAGTTAAAACCTGCTTGGGTAAAAACATGCTTGGCTGCTTTAAAAGCTGCTTGTTTTGATTTAAAAGGTGCTTGGTTGAAAAGTGCCTGTTTTGATGTAAAAGGTACTTGATTTTAAAAGTGTTCTTTTTAAAAAGTGTTTCTTCGTTCCCTCCGTGGTTTCCTACCTTTTTTTTAACCTACGACATCTTAGGTTAAAAGAAAAAAAAGAAAAGAATTCTGCCCCTAGTGGTAGGAATGGATTAACCGGCTTTGCATTAGTTCCAACGGGAACAAATGCTTGGACTTACAAACTGCCCCTCGACCTAAGAACCAAAAACAGCCAGAACGGATTTTCAATGCATTCCTATGGGAATGCTGATTCAAGTTATGAACTTTTCGACTTACAAACGTCCTTCCGGAACGGATTAAGTTCATAAGTCGACGGTTGACTTTACTTTTACCTGGTAATATTCACAATGTATCCTGTTCCTTTTATATAATTTGCTACACTTCAAAAATAATAACCTTATATACACGGAAGCACCACAAGGAGTCCACAAAGTGCTAACTTAGAAATATTTAGGACAGGGGTGTTTTTGGTTCTTAGGCAGTTACCTAACTATATTAACACTGTTACCTAACTATATTAACACTGCACTAGTAAGGGCGATATTCTAGCACAGAAAATGCCAAACCAGTCAGGATTATTCTGCCCAGGGCTGTGACTCAGGGTTTTAGGGCAGGTATGGTATTGTTTGGAAAAACCAACAGCTCTGAATATATCACTTCAATGTACAGTGGACCCTTGACTTACAGATGGCTTGACTTACAGACTTTTTGAGTTACAGACTTCTCTGGCCGCAAAATTTTGGTTTGACTTGCAGACTGAGATTTGACTTACAGACCAGAAAAAAACCAAAATGGAACAAAAACGGCCTGTTACGGGATTAATCGGTTTTCAATGCACTGTAGGTCAATGGAAACTTGACTTACAGACTTTTTAACTTGAGAACCGCCTTCCAATACGGATTAAGTTCTCAAGTCAAGACCCCACTGTACAAAATTTTGAAGACCAAGACTTTCTATAATTTACAAATGATTTGCTTTCTTTCAGTTATGGCATTTCAGTTTTCAAGCAAAATTATTGAGGGGGAGAAGGTTTAAGAGGCTGCATGAGACTCCTTTTTACAGAAAGGTGCACAGGTTGATAAGAGTTGAAGAAATGTTCTAATAGGAACACACAAGTGACCTTCCAGTGAGAGGACACTATAAGCAGAATCTCCCTCTAAATCTTCTCCAATTATCCTCAAAAGAACGACCACCTTTTGGCAACCATATGCCCAGTCATTACCTGTAGGTGGAGGCTTGCTCTCCCACTCAGAATTCTCCATCATCTGTTTAGCAATTCTTTCTGCATTGCACTGTTCACGCTTTTGCTGGATTAACTGCTGAAGTTCTGTTTTACAAGAAGTAATGCGCAGTTGGTATGTTGACGGTGAAGCAATACTGGTTAAAACTTGTATAGCTGGTTTCCTGACTTGGACAACTGTTCCATCTGCTGCCTGAAACGGGCAAGTTATAAGTCACGCTGCATATTTAGAACTTATGTTTCAAAGAAGAAGGGGACATCATCTTTCTTATTACAAACTGCTGTATGAGCAATCCAGTTACATCACACTCACATCTGACTAAAGAGCATGCCATCAAGTCAGTGGATGTTTGCAATTGAAACATACATTTATGGAATAAATACCCACAATACAAAAACTGTAAAAACATGGTATGCTACAATAGTACTAATACTATCTCAGCAGGAAGTATACGCAGAAATCAAACCATAGAATAGTGAAATAATTCCATTTATTTAAAAATATAGTTTGTACTTTCTTGTATAAATAGCAAAACAGATTAACAGCAATTCATAAAAACATAATTATAATTAAAAGCAGCAGATAAAGATATCAAAACATGTCTGCTACAAATGTAGCTGTTAAATTTTCAGCAACCAAATAGGTAAGTGCATTCAAACTAGACAAAACAGAGAAAAAAGCAACAAATTACCTAACATTCAAAGCCCAGAAAAGCCCAATATACTTTGCTGAGCACCCAGAGGACAGCAAAAATAACACCAGATGGCACTCAGTTAAGTCCAGCCAGAGACAGCCCTTTCTCCTGTAGCTAGAACTCAGAATGTGTGGATACTAAGAGAATGGTCACCAATAATTTTCTTAACCCATTAATGACCTCAAGCATATTATGCTGGAGCAGCTGGTCTGCGATGAACTCTAATTTCCACAACAGTTCTAAAGTTAAAATGTAGAAACCAGTCTTTTCAGTTGCAGCCAGTTACAGGGAAGGGCCCAACAAAGATTCTCCATTAATAAGCCCTAGTCAAAAGTCTAGTTCTGCACCAAAAGTTCCAAGAGCCATATTCAAAGGCAGACCTACATGTAACACAGTATACTCAAATGCATGAATACGTGCTGCCTTTTGTTGGACCACTAAAAAAAAATAAACAAATAGCAACCTTTCGTGGATGAAATCCACCTCCTCAGGCTCTAAGCGAACCCCCTTCATGGATGATACAGAAAAATTGTCCAGAAATTGATGTTACATATCTGGGAGATATGATCATTCTACTTGCTTAGCCTAGAGGTTATTTAGACAAAAATAACCAAGGCAAGTTATCTTGCCTTGATTAATTATATCTTAATAAAGGACTATTTCCTTTCAAGACTGAGGCATTCACACCAACATAGTACAGTGGTGCCTCGCTTTACGATTGCCCTGTTTAATGACAAAACTGCATTACGCTGAACTTTTTGCGATCGCAAAACGATGTTTCCTATGGGGGAATTTCACTTTGCGATATTCGGTTCCCTGCTTCAGGAACCGGTTCTTCGCAAAACGATGATTTTCCAACAGCTGATCGGTGGTTTCAAAATGGCTGCCGGCTAAACAAAGTGGCCCCCCGCTGTTTTCTGGAATGGATTCCTCGCTGCACAGGTAGCGAAAATGGCTGCCCTATGGAGGATCTTCGCTGGACGGTGAGTTTACAGCCCTTTGGAATGCATTAAACGGGCTTTAATGCGTTTCAATGGGTTTTTTCTTTTCGCATTACAGCGATTTTGCTGGAATGAATTAACGTCGTAATGAGAGGCACCACTGTACTTTCTTCTAGAGAAAGGATTGGAATAAGTTTTAGCTGCAAACCCAACTAGTCACACCTTGCTCTGTGTAATGTAGCTTTATGGTATCTAGAGGAATATTTGCATGGCAATCATTTAGGCCTTCTGAATAACGGCAACAAAGACATGATCATGGTGACTGACAAACATACTGGCACTATCACAGGAACAGCGAAGGGAAAACTGACTTCATCAGTCGTAAGCCGATGTCATGCAGTATCTTTATGCAGTTGCTGCTCTGGGAACACTCAGGATATACTGCACGTAGAAAGATTCCTGATATGTGAATCAGTACTATGGAGTTGTAAACTCCACCAGGGAAGAAAATCAGTAGCACTGACCCTGAAACATGTGAATTAAGAATTCTGGATATTACTAGTGACTGCTGGGTCTCTGATTTGCTGCTACATCTGATATATCTGCAAGATTTGATTCAGGTTATGCTTCAAGACAATTAATCATGCAAAAACCAGAGAGATCCAGAATCATGCTCCAATTTAAGACTCGTCAGAGAAATGCAATATTGCAATACTGTGTGTCTGCAGGGAGCATGATTTTCTTTCTTGTTTCTTTATTAATTATCTTTCCTCTCTCCTCCATTTTTAGTGCTCTTCAAAAATATATATGCAGAGATGTAGTTCCACTGTATATACATTATTGGAGGGATTTAGAATTTGCCTTTTTAGTGCAGGGAAAAGCATGGATAAATCAGTATTTTAAAGAGCAAAGCCACGAACTGTAAGTAGAAGTGTTCGTCTTCATTAACCAAGAAGCATCCAGACTGATCATTTTACTTTTCCAAGGGAAAGGATGAGACTGTACTGATCTCTTTGTGCTTTTCTCTGCACTAAAACGGAATAAGCAATTTCCAAATCCCAACAACAACTTTACAATACAAATATACAGGTGCACATTTTTGCTAGAAAGGTTAAATTCATCAGTGACCAGTACTGAACTGGAAGAGCTGTTTTTACACATTGATACACATTCAAATCTAAGGATTATGTAAAATGTGGATGAAAAAGAAACCCCAATAAATACCTGTGGTGAAGATGACAAAGGCACAGGAATACCAGCTGAAGACTCAGATCGAAGAGGTTTCCCACTCTGGATGGCTTCTTGATCTGTGGCTTGGCTGTGACCTTTGTTGATTGGTTGAGGTACATTAGAAGGCTCCAAAGAACCAAACATACTCTTCCATTCTTCATTTACATTTGAATCCTGTTTTACATGTTTTCTAGCTGAAATTAGCAAACCACAGGAGGCTAAGTATCACAGGACTCAATTCAATTTATTGTAACAGATCATCCAGACTGATCAAGACCCTAGCTGTATAAAGCAGATGCATAATTTACCTATTTTGGTTTATTTTACCCATATGTTTAAAGGAGAAGGCTGAGTGCTGGGCCATGTAAATCAGCTGCCAGATGATCGGTTGGGTGAAAGCTTCAATCCCTCAGAATAAATAACCTTGGAATAGTCTTAATACCAAAGATAGCCCATATCTGCTAAAATGCTCATAAGGTAAAGGTGAAGGTACTCCTTGACATTTAGTTCAGTTGTGTCCGACTCTAGAGGGCGGTGCTCATCTCTGTCTCCAAGCCGTAGAGCCAGCGTTTGTCCGTAGACAGTTTCCATGGTCACGTGGCCAGTGTGACTAGTCATGGAATGCTGTTACCTTCCCACCGTGGTGGTATCTACTTATCTACTCGCATTTACATGCTTTCGAACAGTTAGGTTGGCAGGAGCTGGGACAAGCGACGGGAGCTCACTCAGTTGCGTGGATTCGATCTTACAACTGCTGGTCTTCTGACCCTGGAGCACAGAGGCTTCTGCGGTTTAACCCGCAGCACCACCACGTCCCACAAAATGCTCATACCAGAAAGTATTTTCACAGAAAAGTGAAATGGATGGATGGATGGATGGATGGATGGATGGATGGATGGATGGATGGATGGATGGATGGATGGATGGATGGATGGATGGATGGATGGATGGATGGATGGATGGATGGATGGATGGATGGATGGTGCTAGAGGAGGAATAATTTGCTTTACAGTCTTTTCAGGACAATAATGGAAACTGATCTGAAAGTCCAAACCTATGGAACCAACCAAAGCCAAAGAAGGGCATCATATCAAAAGGAATAACAACAGATTGACATGCAAAGCAACTTCATTTCAGTATAATAGGCTGGATTCAGACTTGGGAAAATGCAGCTTGGCTGGCGCAAGCAGATATCCTGTGGGGAGAAAAGGTGGTAAATATCTTCTTACATAGCCACTTCTCCTCACTGCAGCTTCTCTAGCTTCCTGAAAAATTCTCCACAGACAGGAGGCTTTGAAGAAGAGGGTAAACTATACTCCAGGAGGAGAGCTGAAATAGAATTGAGGGCTTTCTCTTCACCAATAAGCCAGAAGTACCTTCTGCAAACAGAATTCTGATCATGAAAGGTTTTTTTGCCTAATTTAATTGGGATATCCCCATGCCTTCCCCTCATACTACAGCCCACTGCAACAAGCAGAAAAGATTAGGGAAGTCCACTTTCACTAGCCCAGCTGCATGTGCCTAAATCAGGATACAAGCCAGAATGTGGCTGTGAAATCTCCCATTACATATTTTAAATCATTTTGTACAAATTATAAAACAACATCAGATATGAACCAGAAAAGAATACGAACCACGTTTGTCGTCAGACTCCTGCTTAGTTTTGACAAGATCAACTTGTCTCCCAGGTATACCTAGAGCTGCCAGGTCAATCACTCCTTTCTGGGTGCTGTCCTGAAGATGGCTCTGGTCCACTATATTAGCTTTGGCTTTGTTTGACTTCAGCATGAAGTCTTTTAAGGCTAGTAGTTTGTCTTCTTCTTCCTCGGTCATCCCCTATCCCGGAACAAAACAAAAATTGGAGCAATGAACATATGCATTTATCAAGACAAGGACAACATACCGTATTTTTCGCACCATAAGACGCACTTTTCCCCCACAAAACAGGGGGGTGGAAAGTCTGTGAGTCTTATGGGGCGAAGAAAACAGATTATATTTTCCTGTTTTCTTCTCCTAAAAAATTGGTGCACCTTATGGAAAGGTGCATCTTATGGAGCGAAAAATACAAATACGGGATTCCCATGACATGTAATCCCTGGTATCAGCCTAGACCAGTGTAAAATGTTACTTGGAAACAATCTGGCAGGGGCTATCATAGAAACACAATGTAGCCTTTTAAAAAGCTACAGATCCTTTTTAAAGGCTATGATTTCGTGTAGAGGAATTAAATAATTAAATTGAATCAAGGCCTAGCCTTTTGATCAGTCATATGATGGCAGGGGTGCTTGATCAGTTTCAGAAGATGCTGGGAGTCACAGTCCTGTTCCGTTTGATGTTCCTTCTGAGCCTCATCTGTTTATTGGAGAAAAGACAGCCCGCAACAACGAACCCTCACAGGCATCTACTGAAGAACTACAACTTCCAGGAAGCATGGCAGCAGGAAGGGGAAAGTAAGAGGAAATTAAGCTGGCAACAGAGGTAAATAACCTGATAATCCTTCTCTATGGGGAAATATTGATTTGTGTTTATGGAGTGCAGCACTCAGAATTCTGCCTGGGGAATTGTTGGAGAATTCTAGGAGTTGCAGTCCAAAGAAAATGGAAGTGCATACCCCTATTAATAAATCAATGAATATACTGGGATAAGAACGATAATGGAATTCTGACAAAGGGCTAAGAAGCCATGTGTGCCTGACGTTTACCTAATGCACTTCACTCATGGGCAAATGGAAAATGTTCACAGCTGTTCCACAAATGACTTTTGGGTTCCAGTCTTTAAAATTAGTGGATACTTCACTAAGACTTAAAGAATATCTACCATCCCAATTAACAAACAAAACCAACATTTGGATGCACAAACATGCTCACTCTCATATTCTTTGGAAGAGCTATCTTTGTGCATTTTACTCTTACTACATATAACAATACCTATTTCTGAGGCCAAGCAACCCGTCATTTTAGCACACATCTAGAATTGGTGGTGATAAGACCTTAGTTGCCACTTGAATGGCTCAAGCTACTCTACAGCAAGACAGATCATGTCACAGTAGTCTTTCTGGATGTGTTCCCCAGATGCATACAAGTCTCTAAACCAGCTCCTGTGGATTTCGAAGAACTGCTCAGCCATCCCAAAAGAAAAGGAAAAAAGGCTAGACTATGTGAAAACAAAGTCTCAATTGTAAAGACAGAAAAGAAACAGAAAATAACAGTTCTCCAAAATATTTTCCTCTTGGTAGGGATCATGGGCTCAGCCTGCTTGAAATTTTCCAGCATACACCCACTGAAATAGTGCATGGAAATCCTTTGCAGCTAGATTGGAGGAGGGACCACCAGCACCATGGACACACTGAGGTGTTTTACTGATACTACCACAACATATATTTGTTGCTTAAATTCTCATCACTCCTTCTACTGATAAGGAATTACTTGAGAAAGTAGCTTCTTCAGCAGCTGTGCAATTGCTGGATCTTCAGGGGGTGGGCATTCAGGAAGAGTTCCATTCCTTTTCTTCTGACGAAGCTGAAGTGTTCTGAAAAGGCTCCCTATGTCCTTTGATCGAAGGGCATAATCAAATATAGAACGGCTTACAGGCTCTTTGAGGACACTCAGTAGGACTATTTCTTTATCTATCTGCAATTCAGGAAGGAGAGCAAAGAACCAGTCAGATAGTCACAGCTGTCTTACAGAAGGAGATCGTTCACTTTGTTCACAGAACTCTCCTAACTGCTCTTGGCAACCATTTTTAAATAGGAAGGAGTCTCGCTACAAAAAAATGCACACAACACAAAACCCCAAATCCTTGGTGGCTGAAGGAAGAAACTGTCTCCTTTTCAGTAATTCAATTAATTACTCTTTTGGTATCAACAGCACTTTGCATATTCAGATGTGCTATGCAATTGTTACAGATCTTCTTCGGCACAATCTGTGTGTGAGAGGCACAATCATTTAAAAGATGTGAAATACAAGCTGAAAACTAACTAGTATTTGCTCAAGGCCTGTGTGACAGTCTAAAATGTCTTACTAAATTGCTCCTCAAACTGATGATGCTATATTGTTACTGTTACCAGCTTATCACAAAACAGAAGCATAATAAGGTATGTTTTTCAATAAGAGTACTAACACAGAGCGGAAGACCTGTGCTACACATTGCATACGTATGTCACAAAGGTCAACAAATAACACTGGTGACAAGCCATCCCCGACTCTATGCAAACATCTAGGAGTTTTTATCAGGCAGAATGGTCACATTGCCACTTTTAACATATCTGCCTGTGGCAACCAGTGACATGGAATAGGGACAGGGAAACTCGCAGCATGATGCTACTGAATTATATGGTGAGAAATTTTAGTGAACACAGTAGAGATGCTTGTTTTAATAACACCTTAACACACCATGAAGCTTTGCTCTCAGGGTTAAGTCAGGAAAATGTTAAGCTAAACCACTTTAAGGCTTCCTACATACTGAATAAAAATATTCATTACCTGTATTATGGGCTGAGTGATAAAAGGCTGAAGGTAAGGCATGAGCTTGCAATAAACATCGGCAATGTTCAAATGCTGTGCTACGACAGTAATAAAACCAACTGCTCCGTAGCGTATCCAGAGATTGGGATGGCACAGAAACGGTGCTTTGGGAGAGAAGCAATAAAAAGAGTTCCAGGTTTTAAATAGACACCATTTCCAGAATTTGCATTCAAGAGACAGGAAACACACACATCAATTTCAGATTAAACTCAAAATGAGACTTACCATACAAAAGAACATGTTAACCAATACAGAACTCCTTTGCATTAAAATCTTGCCTTACGACATTCAACACCACTGGATGCTTGGCTCATTCTAATCTTTAGTGTCTTTGGCTTCACTCTAATGAACTACTCATACCTATACCTGGAAACTGGCCTGCCAATATGTATTCAAAGTAGTCACTTACTGTCTTACTTGCCCCCTTCATTTCTCCTTGTTGACACATCTATTACCCCTCCTCACAAGAGAGTGAGAAAGAGAGAATGTCACCAGCAACCAGATATTTCTGCTGGTTTTACTGAATATGAGCATATACAGCTGAGTTTTCTAGTTGCTTCTACTGATAGCATTTCCATTTTTTTCCAGAGAGGGAAGAGAAGGAAGTCTGACCAACCTACGGTGCAGCTTTGGCTAAGCACCATTTAAAGTATTTACTTTGAAAACAGGTCTTATTACTTCTGAAGGAACAGTCATAGGAGGGTATGGACAGAACTGGTGTCAATGGACACCAATTTTACTCAAATCTATTCTGATTATTAATTTAGCAACTGAAATATATCATACATTCAAGTAGTTATACTGGGAGTGAAAGGACAAGATGGCTGGAGGAGGAAGTTGCTTTCAAGAAAGATGGCTTACCAATGTCACTGGCAAATTCATATATATGTGGTTTCTGTAGAAGCCCTAACTGGCACATACAAGTAAGGGCATTGAGGGCTTTATAGATGACAAATTCTTCAGCATCACTGAGCCCTTGCTGGAGAAGAGGCTTCAAGATTGAGGAACTTTGCCAGCCAACATAAGCAGCAACACCTGAAATCCAAGTGGAAGATATATTTTCAAATGATTACTCCTAATAGCTAAGTGAAACCAAGAAGAGTCAACATCCAGACATTTTTTTAAAAAAAATCAATGTAATGTGCAGGATTTAACTGAGCTATGGCTCAGTCCCTGCAACCCATTTTCAACTACAGCTTATTTTATGTGGATAATCTATAATTAATTTGTGGAACTCATTGCCGAGATATGACATGATGGCCAAAAGCATAGCTAGATGTAAGGTTGCCATGCACTCATGAATAGAGTTATCAATTGCTATTTGCTGTAAAAGCAAAAAATGGAACCTTACTACAGTTTCAACACCCACTTGCTAGAAAGAAACAAGAGATGGCTGTTGGCTACTTATCTTAATCTTCAGGCCTTGTTTACTAATATCTAAGGAGCATCTGACTGGGTAGAACTCTATACTCTAGGTCAGTTTTCCCACAGCAATTCGTGTATATGTACTATTATTACCTAAGGTGCTTCCAGACAGAAGGCTTCTTTGATTCACAATAAAGGGCACCGTGTAGCTGTTCCATCTTCTTTCCTTAGATTTTCTTTGGCAAGAAAAAAGATGGAGGAGCCAATGGGAAAACAGGAGAGGGCTGCAAATTGAAGACATCTTCTCAGCCTCCCATTAATATCTATGACTAAGCCATTGCACCTGCATAGTGGAAACCTGGCGTGGGATCTCAGTTGCTTAATCTACTCTTTTTTTTAAATGAAACTTTAAAAAAAGTTGTTGTACTTGTACGCAGAGAACTATCCATATAGATTAAATGGTTTTTAATTCCGAATCCAAAATCAACCAACGAACCTTCATATAATATAATATAAAGATGCTGTTTGTTGTCAGGCACATACCAACTATACTATCAAAAAAAGCTCCCCGCAGATGCCAATCATTTTTATCATTAAGGAAGGTGATCATATGGGACAGGAGAACATCATTGGCTTTTTGACGTCCAAAGAAGACACAAAGGCGAGTGATTCCATTTTCCATCAAGGTCTGCTTCACAATGTTTTCTGGATCGCTCAGCAATGTGACAACTTTCTGCTGGACCATTTCATGTAAGGCCTGAAGCTCTGCAAGAATAACACAGAAACGAGATCAGGGGAAATTGCATACAGTGCCCATTTACTGAGAGAAGTGTTCCATTTGGTGTGTTGTTTGCACTTAGGAATTCCTTTTTGTTTGTCATTATTTCTAAATTATCTAATGCATATACACTCTAATTAGAACACAATTTGAAAAATGTCATTATTTCTAGTTATTCATCAAAGCAGAAACCAAATGAAGCTAGGCAACTAACAGCTTTCAAAATGTCACTGATTGTGTCTCTCATCAGTTCTAATCACCATAGTGATTGGTAAAGGAAGATGTGCATTACAATCAATCATCACTTAGAGGGCTGCGAGTTACTTTGAAGAGAGGGAGGAATGACATCCAAACATGGGAAGGGTGCACAGGGTATTTTAATGAGAACTTCAACATGGCATTCTTGTCTCATACTTTGAACTTCTAGTTTGTTAGTTAAACATATTGGCCACGATAGCAGCTGGCTACAAGATTACGGGAAAGCCAGTAATGAGTCATCTGGTCTGTTTTGGCCTCAGCACACAAATCTGTGTTGATCAACAGTACCAAAAATCCAGTAACATACACATGCTCCTAAGCTGTCCCTTAGGAAACTGGCTGTGAAGTGATGCTCAAATAGCTGCACTGATTGTCACACCACTGCTTTTGTGATATGCTCACAGCTGAGTCAGCATATGTGTAGAAAAATATTTATTAAAGAACTTGAAAACACTGCTTCCCAAAGGAACACAACAACACAGTACTGTACAAGATCAACATTTTTCTGACCATTCCAGTATACTTTAAAAATTACTCAGGGCACTTTGGATCTTGTAGCACACAAGACTTAGACAAAGACTTTTAAAAGGTAAAGACAAATAACAGTAAAAATAAGAGCATAAACAGGCCTATCATGGATAGGAGGAGTCAGAAAGAAAGGCTGCCTGATCAGAAAAAAGCTTCCATTCAGCTGATATGTCATTGTTAGCATAGTCCAATATTTGGCAATGATCATTAGCAATGATATTATATTGTATGGCCATAGTATGAGGGAGGGGTTTATAGTACAGATGCAAAAATCAATATGAAGGGTAACTCAGAGGCAGGAAAAATAGTTACTAACAATGAAGTGGGGCAGTCCTTGAAAAAAATATACACATAAAAACTTCTAATTCTTTATGGTGTCACAAAACTCTTCTTTTGCTTGAAAATTAATTGGGAGCAAATTTTAGAAATAATTAGTAGGCACAGGAAAAATGCAGTTGGCTGTTGAATTTCAGCCACACAGTGGCAAAGTGCACAATCTTCTGCAAGTTCCAGAAACACAGAAATTGGCTGCCAGACCAGCCTGACTGAGAGGAATTGTGGCAGGGTTATTTTTTTTGTTTTTTTGAGTCGACTGCCAGAATACTTTTAATATTTGTGTAAGGGTTGCATAACTTGCCAGGGCGAATTGATGAGGTGGCTAGTCATACACCTAACCAAACACCTTGTCAATTAGCCATGGCAAGTTACACAAACCTTACACAAACAGAAGGAGGAATTCAGGCAGAGGCTTGACCAGATGGAGCAGCCTGGTATTTCCACAATTCTTGGTGCAACATTGCCCTCCTTGTTTGCTTCATTGTTGGGGAAATCTGTGTATTTATGCCCAATGCCACACTTGGATGGTCACCTCAACATGGAGGTGACCAGATGTCCCACTTGCATACAATGCCACACACCCTAACAAGACCACACAGAGAATGCAAGCAAGTAAGATGATGTCTAGCTTAGGATATAGTTCTCCCAAATAAGGCTGACATCAATCTGATTTCTTAAAGGACTACAATAAAGCTAATGTCGTACTGTTTTCTGTAATTCATCACCTTTATCCAACAGCTGGAAATTACCAAATATTCCTATGATATTTCCCAGAAAAAAAATATTCTAAGCATCCTTCTGGAATATAAACTATATGTTCCAGTGTCTTCAGTGGGCCTTACTCCCAAGTAAGTATGCATATGACCAGGCTCATAATAAAGGGGGAAAAGGAAGTACATCACCAGTGTCATAATTTTCACTAGGGTGTGTTGCATCATCTGTTTCTTCACTGTTTGTTTCATTCTCCATGTTAAGGTTTTTCAGCTGGACAAGTTCCAAGAATCTCAGAGCAGTTTCCGCCAACAATGCTATGTTTTCTACAAATATTAAAACATTTTATCATGTTTTTAAAAGGAAGCTCAAAATGATAAGGACAAGCAGTAGCTAAGCACAGTGAATATGTTCCTAAATTGTAACATTACAGTATAAACATAGGAGTCTTGTGGCATCTTTAACAAGTTTAAGTCAGCATAAGTTTTTGCGGCCTGCAGCCCACTTCTTCAGAAGAGCTTATGCGAAGTAAAACTTGTTAGTCTCTAAGGTGACCCAAGACACAGCAAAGAGATTCCAACCACACCTCTGCCCCCAGGAATACATGCATGTTATACTGAAATAATCAGAGCCACAAAAAGCCTTGCTAAAGTATTGCAGCTGATCCAGGCTTGAACTTTGTAGAACTTCTTGCTTTAGACCCACATAGACCCACACTATTTGGGGTACAGCCACTGACAATATAGGTTTTACAAGTGACTGAGCCCCTTGGAAACAGTCCCCATCATGTGAGTTCTCAGAAGAATCAAGGTGGAAACATAATCTTGGGCATACTCAGCAAAGCAATTATTTTTAATGGTTGTTGTGGGTTTTTCGGGTTCTTTG